TTTCACACACTTTACTTACGGTGCCTACTGTTCGCTTGACTCAATTATCTATATCTTCAATCTATCTACCTGTCCATCTATCGCTGGCTGTATTTGCCGGGCTTATATACTAAAAAAGAGGGCGCCTGGCAAACACTTGGACAATTCGCAAGGTACCTCGATAAGTCATGATCCTTCTAGAAATTCCAGCGCGTATGCTCCCAGTGTCGCGTGACTTCCGCTGTCGTAACACTATCATGTTCCTAACATTGTTGTAGTCTACAAGTGCAGGTTCAGCAACTAATAAATCATAATGGTAAGCTGCTCTGACTTAGGATATCCCAACAGAAACCTAGTATTTTAGGTCAAGTGATTTCTTGTAATACGGTCCTAATTTCTTGGTTTCAAGGCTATGGATAGAGTTGAAAATGCTTTGCGTTTGTCGATCCATAGCACTACTGCTGCAAATCTATACAAAAAAATAAAGACGTTATACTGCAATCATTCTTTGCTCGCTACTTGGTGATTTAGAAGTTACACTAACTAAAGCAAGTTGAAACACAAAAGTAAAGTAAGTAAGCTTTAAACTTGGCAAAAATCCCGATAAAGGCATGCCTTAATGACCGTTTAATTAAACTTCAGTCAAAACTTATAGGCTTTATATACTAACACATATTTATTGAAAACTTTATACTGAATAAGGTCAAATGATAACACAGGGAGATTGAATTTGTTAACTTATATAAACTACATTTATCGTTGGTAAAAGTGTACTCTGAAACGGTTTCAACCTTGTTATCCTGTTATTTCAATCTTCACACTGCGGGTAACTCCCTTTTCTACTATGAATCTAACAATAAATGTGCAAAGGAAGAAACTCAAAACCAAAACTTCCGATAAAAGAACACAGAAGGAGATAACTTTTTTGTTGTTGTTGCAAAAATTTTTGTTTATTGTTAAGCGCAAAGCTATACAACAGGATAACTGTGTTTTGGCCACCACAGGGATTTTTAGAGTTATAAAGTCATAGGTTTTTCGCTGAGTCACTGGAGGGCAATACTAAAAGACTTGAGCAACTAATAAAAAAGGATATTTTGAGATTTAATAAGAAGAGCCTACGATTACGTTGAAACACGAAGCTTTTAAGCATCTGGGACTCAACATAAAATTCTCTTTTATCTAATTGGTTCTTTCATACGTGTTTATTATTTTAAACATTGATGCGTGGCGTTTTTACGGACCTCTTCTTTCTGGTGTCTGTTTGTTTGAATTTATGCACAAAGCTACACAACGGGCTATCTGTGCTCTGCCCACCACGGGTATCGAAACCCGGTTTCTAGCGTTGTAAGACATACCGCTGTGCCATTGGGGGGCTTTCTGGTGTCATATGAAATTATTATATGTTCAGTTAAAGACGGTTAGGTTTGTTTTTGGAATTATTTGTAGTTTTTATTGATAATGTTGCGTCAGCGAGTCACGTGACTACTAT